AGCAGGGTATTATTCAGGCAGCTGCATCGAGGGACTAATATAACATGTGTTCTCAATTTTGGACCCTTTATGTTGGGAATTTTCCGTTGTGCAATTGCATTAAATCTGAGGCAGCTGACAAGAGCACGATGTTTTCTAACTCTACACAAGGTTAAATGACTGAAATAAAAATAGATGGAAAAGAAAACAAAGTAAAATAAGTTTGCTTTCTCATGTAATGGCAGGCAGTAGCGTGAGGTCAGGGACTTAACGATAGCCCAGCCATCAGTCAGGGACCGTGAAACAACTGATCCTTCCTAAATCACTTTGGAAGTTATCTTCTGTTTCAGACGCTTGTTCTCTTTCATTCACACAGACCATATAACCAAGAAGACTGTGTTCAACGTTATCATTTTTATATAAATTGTGGTAATAATGACTGTATTTGTGAAGCATTTTACTTTCCAAACACCAGGGCTCTAGGATGTTATTTGCAGTATTTTCCTTACTAGGAAACATGATTTTTACTACTGCCTGTAGGAAAAATACACGCTGGGCTGGTGTCACGGGAAGGGGGAAGGCAGTCTGCAGAGCAGTAGGGTGGTCTTGCACCCAGGAGAGTCGATGAATTTACAAATGCAAACGTCAGGCCAAGACGGCAGCTGGAGGTAAAGCAGGAGCTCTGAGCTTCAGAGAGAAGCATCGGTTGGGTGGTGGATCACGGAGCCTTGCAGCCTCGCGTGTGGCACGGGGGTCTCTCTCCTGCAGCACGCCGGGATCCTTCTGGAGTTGGCTTTGGCTCTATGTTCCCATCCAACAGGGCTTTCACTTTTGCCCCTGTTTTACATCTCACAGGTTTTGTTTTCAACCCATGTTGCAAAGACTCTTTTGCTCTCTGAAGTTTAGACAAAATGTCAGACCAGCTTCAGCAGGTACCAGCCCTCTAGTCTCTTGCAGATTTTCAGCACGATGCTGCTTGAATGTTTGTTAAGGAACGTTTCATAAATAAAAGCAAGGGAGGGTGCCATTTATTGCTGTAATTTCCTTATTGAAGCAGAGCTTTATGCATTTGCAGAGTTACTAGCTTTTGTTCAGGTAGAGAATGAGGTGACCTCAAATGCTAAACCCCTTTTTTTTCTGCTTAAATGACCAGCTGCACCCCCCTGCAGTAGTTTGTACCCTCATTATTATTTTGTTGTCTTTGTGTTTCGGATACTGGTATTTTAACTACCAAGTCCTCTGGCGTTAGAGCGGGTCTGTTCACCAGGGTACTAGGGCTGGCCACCTGCATCCTAACGGGGTGGGCATCCAGCTGGCAGGTGCCCCTTCCAGCACAGCCTTCTTCACGCCCTTTGGTGCAATCTCGTTTCGTCTTCAGAGGAGGTATTTCTCGAGCAGGCAGCTCATGTTGCTGGGTTCCTCAGGTGATCCTGGTGGACAGGTTCCTCTGCGTGTCCTGCTGTTAGGTGAGCCATTAAGATGGGGGTTTTAGCAACAAATGGGAAACTATATCCATTTAGGTCTGCGATATGTCAGTCAATTGCAAAAAATAATATCTATGTTTATATATGCCTGTCTTGTGAAAAAATAGCCCTCGTTCAGAGCTGTGCAAGACAGACCATTAAGTTAAAAATAAATCTTCAGAACACAGTGCATCTAAACACAACTTGTTTATTACTGGCTATTTTATTTATACCAGTCATGGGATATTCCACTACTGACATGGGAACAGCAAAACATAGTTTTTAATTCTGGGTTTGGACAGCGACGCAACAAGCAGCAGCTATGAGAATTTAGCTTTACGACCACAGAGCATAGACTTAAACCCTAATATAGCTCCCCTGGAGCAAAACCAGGGGTCAGGACGCCACTGGTGGTAGGCAGTGCTGGAATGCCCCATTGCCAGCATTTTCATTAAAACTGCGTCTTTGTCTGATTAAAACGTACAAGCAGAGCCGCGTTGCTCTCTAACGCTGCTGTTGGTTGAGTTTCATCGCTGGGGCCCTTCATCAGGCTGGCCCCGAGTGCCACTTCCAGAGCACCCCAGCTGGGGATGCACCTTTTTTTTTAATGAATAATTAGATGTAAATTAACAGCAGAGGTGAAAACTCAACCATGTGCTTCTCTGGCCTACTTAAAAGGAAAAGAAAGCAGCCATTAGGTTAATTTTATTTACTGTTGAAGGATACTAGAGTACCTTTTGTAAAAATTTTAGCAGCACCATGTAATCTAAACTGAGCGCCACGCACATCGCCTTTTAATGTTTGTTAGTGTATATCTAAAAACTTACTTGCCATCTTTCTATTCAAAAATATTAATGAAATTGTGACATCTGGTCCAAAGCCTGTACAAGGAATATTTGTAATAGCTGGAGTTTTTATGAATACAGCTTGCACTAGCTAGAAGGGGAAAATATAGAAGAGGCATGGTCTTAATGGGCTCTGCTTTGCTCAGCATTCATTCCACTTAAATGAGGGAAATAAAAAGTATAGTGTTCTCACTTGAAAAACATCCAATTTTTCCAATATTTTCCTGCCACCTTAGCCAACAAATACTATGCCTGTTGGATACGGTGGTCAATGACTAATTACATTTTCTGTGTATTTAAAGGTTAAAGTAATTAAAAACGTCAAATCTTTTCCTCTTTTCAATAAGAAAAGAAAAAAGCTGACCGCAGTTCTGAGGGGATGAGGGGAGAGAGCTCTGTTTTACCCATGCACAGTCCAGTGCAGTAGTTTCAGTTCACAGAAGCTGCGGAGTGGACTCTGGGGCTAATTTGTACTTTCATTACTTTCCTTGGCCATTAGGAAAAGCTGGCTCTCAGATGGAGGCTGGAATACACTCCTCCCGCTTCAGCCCCTCTCTGCCGTTATTAATAGGAAGAACATTTTCCTGCTAATCATTTATATATATATATATATATATATACACACACACACTCTCCATATATTTGTTTTGCTTCCCATTCCCTTCTGTTTTTTCCAGGTACAACTTGTTTGATCGCACTGTTGTCAGATAAAGAGCTCACAGTGGCCAACGTTGGTGATTCGCGAGGAGTCTTGTGTGACAAGGATGGGAATGCTATCCCCTTGTCACACGATCACAAGCCCTACCAACTGAAAGAGAGGAAGAGGATTAAAAGAGCTGGTGAGTTGTAATGTTTTTGCTTTGGATTGAAGGTTCACCTTTTTTCTTCTCTACTCTGTTAATAATATAGACTTCTCCCCTGAGAGAGACTGAAAAGTACCAGACTGAGGCATCAGCAGATGAAATCTTCCATTATTAATACAGCACTTTTCAGTGGGATTTCATGGTGCAGACAGAGAAGTGGAAGCAGATTGGCCTATCCCTTAATAAGCCAGTGTCAGAGTAAGAAGAGCAGCCTTCATCTTCAATAACCAGTTGACTGTCCCGGCCAGTTCCCTTGTGATCTCTGCAGGGAGCAAATTAATAAACGGGAACAGCAGCATTACAGGCTTCTTCACACCAAACCGTATCAGCAGCCTTTATGTGAGAGGCTGGGTCTGAAGCTGAGTGAGGTTTAGTTCCTAAAATAAGCAGAGCATGAATCTAATTCATCAAAGCTATTTTTTGTTCCCGTATAGTGACTGCTAATGAGCACAAACATGTAAATTGTAGCAGGAGTATAGGGAAAGAATACAAGAAACAGCAACTTTTCCGCAATAAATCTTTCTTGCTTTCATCACTTGTCAGTTTAGTGACCTCCTGGGCTAGAAGTTACAGTTGGATCATCAAGTTTAATAGCCAATTCTCCATCAATTTGTCCAAGTCTCTTTTGAACCCGTTTCTGGTTTGGCTCCCACAGCAGCCTGCAGCAGTAAAGTATTTGATGAAGAAAAAAAGTTCCTCTTGTTTGTGTTAAACCTACCGATGAGCATTGCTTCCAGAGATGCATTGCCTCTCTGCCTCCACGTCTTCATCTGTAAAGTGGAAATAACAAGTTTTTCCCTGAGTTATAAAACATTTTTAAAACCTACAGGTTATCAATATGCTCACGCCAGCATGAATGCCCGTACACGTGCAGTGTGCGCTTTCCTCTCAGTTTGCTTTTATCGCCAAGGAAGTGTAAGAGCAGTGGGGATCCTTCCTGCTGCTAGACAGAGAGCCGAGGTCAGGTATCTTCCCCAAAGGGGCAGAAAAAGTATACAGATCCTAAGAAGGAATAGGAAAATCTTGGTCTCGCTTTGCTTCAACTCTGTACTTGGGGGATGTATCAATAAAATCTGGAGATTTTTCTATAAAATTGCTTCTCTCTTAGCCAAGTCCAGGGCCTCTAAGCAATTGTTCACTTAGAGAAGGCCTTCACTTAGGAGAAAAAAAATAATTTTGCTATTTCTTTTGTGTAGAAGTAAGGCTTTATAACACAGCAACATGAAAAATTAACCTGGATTTTTGCAGGAATTTCCAGCTTTGGAAGAAATTATTTTAATAGACAGGTAAATGTTATATCTGCAGCTAAACAAGAAATATTCTATCTAGCCTAGTGATTTAATGAATTCACTTCTCTGTTTCCTATTGCCCCATTGTATTACCACGATTGATACGGCCTCATAGTGCTGTTAAAAACATACAATCCAGTTTATACTACTGCCAGATACTTTTACATTTTGGAACATCCCTTCTTTACATACAGTAAGTGTAAAATTGAAGCAAAGTGCCCAAACTGAATTATCAAGCGTACATGGGTAAAAGTACTTGACTTTTTTCCACCATCTCGGTACTTTCTTGTCATGTAGAACTGAAGAAAGCGACAATAACCACATCATTATGTTACGTTTCGGTTTTCCAGCTTTACATTACACCATGAAGCTGTCCAGTGCCCTATAGGTAGTTATAAAATGACTGCATGTTTGTGTTAGTAGGATTAGATTTCATTTAAAAGTGAAATCCGTATAGCCACGGTTGAGAAAATATCCTTCAAACCGCAGTCTGATATAAATCAATTTGAGGCAGCCTGAAACAGCAGCTCAAAGAAAAGCGTGACTTGCCCTGTGCATTTCAGCAGGGCGTTAACGTTGGGATGACAAGTCTAAACTAATCTGTCATTTTTTGCCGTCATGGTGGATGTTAAGGAGGGTCGCTGCTTGCTGCTGTCAGCGGTCAGTGGATGGGGGCTGAATTCAGTCCCTCTCTTTTCCCCACTCCCAGCCACTGCGTACAAAGTCTTAGTCAACCCACAACCTGAAAAAAAATTTCCATTTCTCAGTCCGACGTGACTCGAGCAGCTCTCGTGCTGAAGCCCCAGAAGCCAACGCTCAGGTTGCTCGTGGGAGTTCCTGCAGTGCAGTGGGAGGTCACTGGTACCCAAGCCTGCAGCCCAATGCCAAAAGGAAAGACAGCAGCTAAGAGAACAGGGCAGGGCCCTCGGTTTTGAGCTGAGGTGCCACATCCTGTGGGATTACCTGCTCCACAGCATGGCTGTGCAGTTAACAGCACCCATCACAGGGTTTTCGTCAAGACTGACTGTTATTTTCACAAGAGGCTGGCTGACGCACACCCAAAAGTGCTGTGGTGCTGCTTGTCTCGCAGCTGAATGAGATCGGGGTCCCACCAGTCTGACTCGTTCCTGTGGGACAGGGGAATGCATGTCCTGTGACACAAGGATGCTGGTTTCCCCAGAAAACACAAGGAATCTCCTTCCGACCGGGAGCTTGAGCGATGTGTATAGTATCAATGTTAGACAGTGGCCTTGAAACAACTGTGGTTTTGGCTTGTGAAGAAACACTCAGTTGCAGAGCCACAAGGTGACTGTCACTGATAGAAGTTTAAGTCATTCACCTTGAACATAATCCTCTGAGCTCAGCTCTCGCTAACATGCAAAATGTTTGTGCGGTTGCCAAAAAGCTTCTCTTTCTTTAATGCCTTTTCTTCTCCGGTGACAGCCAGCGCTGCAGAATGTTTGCTTTTCCATGAGCATTTTTATGTATTCTGTATGGATGGCTTTATAAAAGAAAACATTAGAAGTGCCAACAGACACTTCAGCAAACCACAGGAATTCAACTTGTGCCGTCGGCAGTTCCAGGTGCCACATGAGAATGGCACCGAAAAGTCACTTTGTATGCGTAAGCACAACCTGCAAAGGCTGGAGTAAGCACGCTGCAGCGAGTCAGCAGCATCTGCTATCTCCTCTGCAAGTACAGGAACGGGCGCAGGCATTGCTGTCCTCTAACTGCGTGTAAAATGTCGACTTAAAACTGCTTGTTCTTAATTGCGTTTTGCTCCCCCTGTCATTCCAGTACGTTCACATGATTACGCTCCAGTTCCTATAGTCCTAATCACTTGTGAAAACACTCCCTGTGCTGGGGAGTAGGTGGCTGTGTGACGTTCAACCGAGGCACCCGCAAAACCTGCAGCAGCAGCTGGACGAGGTTTGTCTGACTGCACATCTAGAGAGGACTTGCGGTCGGCTCACCAGTCCTTCCTTTTTTTGACTATGGAAGGAAGCATCGTCATAATGAAGACTCCATAGAAGTATTCATGAAAACACCCCGCTAAAAAAGTTTTCTTTCTGCTGGTTTTAACACAAATCAAGTTTCAAGCTTTAAACGACAATGAATCGTTAAATGAAATGTAGTTTCACCTGAAAGCAGAAGGAATTTACAGATTAGATCAGCCAACCAGGAATGGAAACGCTATTGTCAGATTTAGGTGACTAGATGACTGACAAATAACGCATAGGCTGAAGTGCAGAGCTGAAAACATTCGGATAACTACAAAGAACAAAGGCATTTGTAAGAACACCAAAGCAGACAGCTTGCAGATATAAAAGAAAGACGACAGTTCACCTCATTTTGTCATACACTTCCATGTTCCACGTTTGCAAATTATTTGTCCTCAAGTGGCTTTTTATTCACGTTAAGATGACAGGAACATTGCTGTGAAGCAGTGCAGACAGTGGCACGCAGATGCGTGCACAGGAACTGAAGGTGCCTAAATTTTACACTTGAAGCTTGAGCACTGTATGGTTCCCTCCCTGGCACAGTCAGACTGTCTAACAGCCAGGTGCTGGATGCATCAGTCATCGATTTCAGTGCAAAATGTATCTCACTATAAGCAACCCCTAAATAAAATACATATTTTCAACTAGAAGTAGCCTTAATCCTGGTGATGGTAAAATCAGTCAGTCAGATCCCATGTTGCATTTTTCTGACTTGAAGTAAATTGCATGATGGGTTTGTTCACCACAGTTTTTTGGTCCTTTTTGACACAGCTCATTCAAGGCAGTTTGATAGAAGAGCCTATAAATCTTTTTGCACTTGCTTCTTTGCTTTATGCCTTAAAAGTGAGATGTGGGTCCTACTACAAGGTGTTTTCAATGTTGCTTCCTTCATAGATCTTCTGAAATGGGGAAAACGTGAACTACACAGAAAAAGGAGGGGTTTACTAGCACAAGAATATAAAGATTTGCTTTCAGTATTTTTGTCCTAGCATTGCCATAAGGCTTTCTGAACAGTAAGTTGTGTAGTATGGGAATACCTGTGTTCAATAAGTTGTCGGTCTCACTGGGGGAATCGAGAGCATGAAGCTGCTTCATTTGAAAGCGGAGCCATTCCTGACTGCTCTGCTTCAGCTGTTTCAGCAGCACTGGCAGCCACAATCCAGCTCTTCCCTGCAGCGCTCTGAGATTCACTTAAGGCATCTCTGGCTTTTTGAGATATCTAACATCTGTATACCTCGGGATACTGCAGGATGAATTTTTGGATGGGTCTGGCAGGAAGCCAGAGAAATGCTTTAACTTTAAAAAGAACTGCTTTAAGTGTTGGTGTTTCTCTCCAGGTGGTTTTATCAGCTTTAATGGCTCCTGGCGCGTTCAGGGGATCCTGGCCATGTCCCGCTCGTTAGGAGATTACCCTCTGAAGAACCTGAATGTTGTCATTCCTGACCCCGATATTCTTACCTTTGACCTGGACAAACTGCAGCCAGAGTTCATGATCTTGGCGTCGGATGGTCTGTGGGATGCTTTCAGCAACGAGGAAGCCGTCCGATTCATCAAGGAACGCTTGGATGAACCACACTTCGGTGCAAAGAGTATAGTTCTACAGTCCTTTTACAGAGGATGTCCTGATAATATAACAGTGATGGTGGTGAAGTTCAGGAATAGCAGCAAAACAGAAGAACAGTAATTACCAGTGGTTCTCTGCCTCACTCTGAACTTAAAACAAACTCTTACATTTTAAACATAGTAGAAAGCTCTAGTGAATACCGTTAAGATTCTACACAAAAGGAACAGATCCCTCTGGTCTTTGTTCTTTGCTTAACAAAAGGAGCAATACAGCAAATACATTCTGAGTGATTATAAGAATTATTAAGTTTGTTCACATGTACCTGTCTCCTGTGACCTTGCTGCTCCTTAGAAACTAACTGTAATCTTCCATTTCAGAATATTCTTTACAAATCCTGCGTAGACTTTTCATTTGATTCCTTACCTCTCATTTCCAATAGTCAAAGGTTCATTGGATGCACAGCAGGGTCAGGGCAGCGCTGCCACTCAATAGCAAGCGATAGGAATGATGCTGCTTGTCACTCGTAGGTGTGACTCTTCAGAACGATGCTCTCATGTTTCTCATCTCTTTTCTTTTTTTAATCTGCAGTGATAAGGTTGTAAAGGAAAAGGTTTGCAATTATTGGCCTGTTATTGATATGAAGGAGGAAGAGGAGCCAGCTGTTAGCCTGCTACCACAGAACTGGCTCTCTCGCTTTGTTTAACCTCCCCCCTGCCCTTAAATAAATCAAGCATGTGATTAGGTATAGGTACTGAATTACCTGAAGCCACATGTTCATTCAGTCAGTGCATTACTCAAATAACATTGCTTCCATGCCATATTGTATTCAAACCAACTGATGTTAAACTCCAGCAAAATACTCCAAGGTCCAACACCTTCTGTATCAAAAAATAGCTCTGTTGTGATAGAAGAACGTCTTGTCATTCACCGAGACTCACCCTTACATTAGTTTTTTGGCGTGGACTTTTCATAGGCATGTAAAGAAGGTAATGCAAGATAAAATTAATTTCGTTAGTGACTGTTTGGAAAACTAATCAAAACGGGGCGTTCCTTAGAGCCACCTAGATGGAAGTCAAGCCTATTACAGACTTCCTTGTACCACTGCAGATTAATTTGTGGTGTTAATCCAGGGGAAGACCACTTTAGAACTGTTTTTTGGTATGATGTATAAATGCCAGGCAGCGTCATTGCACTGTAGAGATGAAAGCTTGTGTTAAATCTAGATAAAAATATGTTTAGATCTAACTTTCAGTATTTAATTGTATTTTGGAATCTGTGACTGCTGTAAGTTTAAATGATGACAGTGTGAGTTTGCTCTACATCTGGTAACTTTGCTGGCTGCTTCGTGATTGCGAGGCAGCCATGGCAGAGTGACAGAGCAATGCGTGTTAGAGGAACGGAGCCAGGGCCCGAGTTGGAGGTTAGTATTTTGGATAGCTTGCTTACCCGTATCGCGTCTTGTAACAATCCTTGGGGTTCCCTCCCCGCAAAACGTGGTCCTGGGCGATCTGCTGAAGTCTCTTGTCTTCAAGGTGATGGAGGTTGTCAGTGTTTGGGTCCTGAGGTGAATCAGGGACATAATGCATTAACTAACTTTGTCTGTTTCTTGGGTGAAGATATAATATTACTTAGTTTAAAAGCTGCCTGTTTCTCATCACCCACCTATAGCATTTTTGGGCAAGTGGCTTGCTGGTCCCTAAAATAGTGTGATGTGTCGTGGTTGTGCTAAGCAGGTGTGATGCTCTCAAGACAGAAATGAGAGAGCACAAATTCTGCTCTCTGCTCAAGAAGGAATTCCCATCTGAGTCTTTTCATCTTTGTTCCTAGGTTATCTCTTCCACAACAAACTTCCCTCCTTTAGTTTGTTTGGAGGTAATCACAACTCCTAATTGGATCTGTTGCTATTACCAGTGCTATTCAAATTGTATACATATCCTTTAGCAGCCTCCTCGCATCCCAGAGCCCCTTGACTGTGAGGAACAGACATTGAAAAGCAGAAGGATGAAAGCGTCCTGCATCCTCTGAAACCAGCAGGCACCCAGCCTGCACAGGTCCTTCCCCGAAGGATGGAAACTTTTGAACTTTTTAAATCTCTTGAACAGTGCATTCAGTGAATTTTGAATGCAACTTTGCAGTTAAATTGAGCAGCTAACAGGAAATGTTAATAATTGCAGAGCGCTTCAGTTATTTTATTTTGAAAAGGTATTTGAAGTCAGAACGCTGTGAAATGAAAACCTTGCGTGATATTTTCATGGGAGTGCTTAATCATGTACTCATAATGCTACAGCAGCAGTATCGAAACTGTGCTCCAGGCAGAGCTCACAGTGCACGTAGCATTCGCCTTTCCTTTCTCCTTCACAGATGATGTTTCCGTTGTACTGGCTTTTCCTTGTAGGACGCTGCCTGGATGTTTGTCAAAACAGCTGCCCAGAGAAAAGAAGAATTAGACCCAGCAGCCTACAGAACGCTAAAGCAGTGGGACACTTGTATAGCAGAGACATCACTACTGAACCTTCACAGGCATTTGAGAAATGGTCAGCTCCAAAAAAAACATTGTAGGCTAATGCCACTTGAGCGAAAAGCTCACGGCTGCGACTAAGCCTCCTGCAGCTCACGTTCTGGAGGTTAGCGAGTGTTGCTGAGGGATGCCCGACCTTCTGAGCACAGCTCGCTTGCTGGTTGCTCCGGCACTCGAGATAGACAGGAAAATGAGGTGGCAGGAATCGTACGCGTTCACAGCCTCCCGAAGCAGCCGAGAGGAAGCAGTGGGAGGGTGGCTCACTCTGGAAGTAAGCCCTGCTCACAGGATTTTGGAAAACACATAGTGCAATGCAGTACAGAACTGTTTTGCAGGCTTGTCTGGATATTTATGGCAGGATTCATTTACTCTGTCACTCACGGGCCCACCCAGCCCGTTACCGAATGAGCCCTATTTCGACCTTCACGTGTCTGCAGTTACAACAGTAGCTGTTTGAGCGCCTTCAGTTTTCTGTGCGACACTCCCACCTTTGTGGTGGCTCTTTCCTGGCCAAAGGCATTTATGCCAATGATCGCTGGTAAGGTTGTTGACTTTTGTTTTTATTACTTTAAAAAACTAGTTACAGCTACTTTAGGTTTAAAGATGAAGGACTAATGGAGATGACAGGCTTTGTGCAGTCTTCCACATAGGTGTGCAGTGCCTACCTATGCTCCCTGCTAGAAGTCTTGTGAGAAGTTTTTAATCCCATCCTAGACATCTGTAACTTTCCAGTTGTGCTGATTTGTGCCAAATTCTGTCGTGATGCATACAGCTGTTGGATGACAAGGTTAAGTAATGTACATACCACTTATGCAACCTAAACGATCTAGGGTCTGAGCCTCCACTGCCTTAATAATACATCCTGCATCGGGAAGGGGTTGTCAGACACCGTGGCCAGAAATACGCCCACGTGTGCTCGAGCAGCGTGGCAGAACGCGCTACAGCATCGGAGAGGCAGTCCTTCCAGCCCACCAGCCTCAGTCCTGCTTTCCTGCCTGGGCCCTTCTCCAAGAAAAGGGAGATGCACTTTGGTTTAAGTGGCCTGCACGCACCTGAGAGCTCCCTCTTGCCGAAGACGTTCACAGAAGTTTTTTGTTGCTTCAGCCTGAGTAGCTCCGCTGGTGACAGCTGTTCATCAGGTACGAGCACCACATGGCAGAAAACTGATATATTAAGTTGCTGCCACAGAGCATCTTTCGTATGGCCCGTTATGAAAAAATGTACCTTCTAGTTAGTCATCTGATCCGGTCCTTGAAAGAATTTGGGCTCTTCCCAGTGATGTGGCAAGCTAGTTTAACTCACGTAGTACATTTTAAAGATACTACCATTTAGCTTTTCATTCTGATTATAGACTACCATTTAGTTTACAATTCTGATCATATACTGCTGAGGTTTCAGAAAGGCTGTTCGTTCGTGTAACAGAGGGGCTGCAGCCTTCCCCTTTGCGGCTGCGGGTGCAGTCCCAGGGATCCCCCGTCTAGGCACCAGCCTAGTTAGGCGTGGCCAGAGCTCCGTCTAGTGGCTGGCCTAACCACGGTTAGCCAAGCAGTGTTCGGTAAAGTGAAGAGTTGCTCTCTTAGCCCGGGTGAAAAAATATGTGTGCTTAAAGCTCCCCTTGCCCCTGTGCCGAGGTTGGCTGCAAGGCTAAGGCAGACCTGCTCTCCCGGGCTGAAGTTTGCAGCAGCGCTGGAGCAGCACGGGCCGAACGCCCGCATCCCCCGGCGCCGCGGGGAAACGCAGCTCCTTGGCTGCCAAAACCCCATGTGAAAGTTTGGCCCACGGCAGCCCTGCCCTGCGTCCCTGCCAGCTCGCCCCTCCGCCTGGGCGTCTTCGCAACTTCAGTGAATGCATTTGAAACGCTTGTTTGTGGGATCCAGAGGTCTGGCAGCGGTGCGGCTTACGCTGACCGCAGCGACCCAGCGTACGAGATGCCGGAATTCATCGCTAGTCTCAGGGGCGGCAGGAGATGCTGTTTTATTTCCTAGAAAATGTACAGCACTTCTTTTCTTGCGACATCCAGCACTACTGGTCTGGGCCTGTAGATCCTATCTCATGGTGGAGGGACGACATTGCGAGGACTGCGTCAGCACTGGAGTCCTGACATTTCTAGAAATACGAAATTTGAAATGAATGAGCCTGTTCTACTGAATAGAATGTTTGGATAAATATAAATAAAGTAAATGCCACCTCACATCATGAAGTATTGTCTACTGACTTGTGAACACAAGGTCAGTACCAAAACTACTGCTAATGTTCTTACAGTAGTATACAATTTAAGGTAAAATTAAAAAAAAAAAGTTGTGAAGTTTTTAGAATACAGAAGTTAGTACTAAAGCACTGCAACAGCTTTAAGTGTTTGCTACCTAAACACTAACGCTGCATCTTGAAAATAAGGGAGTTTTGTTGTTCAGCTGCCTCGGAATACATGACATCCTTGCCTTAAATACTACTAATATATTGCTAATCATCTGTCTAATCCTCATTTTACACAGAGAAACATTCAGTAAGTGACTATACTAAAGAAAAAAAACGACCAGCCTTTCATTTCCCAAAGTAGGTTTTTAGGCCTCCATCCTGAAATCTGGCTGTACAAAATTGCAAG